CCCTGCCATAGAGCCACCAGAACTCCTGATCTACCTGCCCCTCCCCCCACCCAACTTCCATCAGGCTTCCAGGACTGGTGAATGCTGGTCAAGCTGGCCCCAGGAGCAGTTTGCAGGATCAAGGACAGTTTGGCAGCATCTCGGGGAGTGAGGGAGGCTAAGTAGGTCTGGGGAGTTTTTGTGGGATCAGAGACCCTCTAGGGACCCCCAAAGACCCTGCCAGTCTCAAGCCCTCCTGCTACCCCCCCATCCCAACCACCCCTCCCTTACCCTGATTTACTTTAGATTGGGTGGCCAATTTCAACCCAGTGTAACCTCCCCCTAACCTCTGATTAGGACAGGTAAGCCAAAGAATTTTGGGAATACTTTCACTGTGATAGTCATCCTCCAACATGATGCTCCCTGGTTCCTGCTAAACTAAAGATACACTTCTTCCAACAGGTCCTTCCTGAACCAATTGAATTCCTTCAAAAACTACTGTGATGCCTTATTTGGCATCACTGGACTCCCATTTCAAAGTAACCTGTCCTGAAAAAGGTGTCTTGTTCTCACCATACTCCCAAGAAAAGGCTCTCTGTTTCTCATATGATAGCTTTTGGCAGCTCTTTATCAGCAGTGTTCTCAAGGGTCCCACAGTCCTCTTTTTGTTTGATTCTTTTCATTTTTTCTAAGGTTTCCCATCCAGGAGTATTTTTATTGTCATCTAAGGCAGTACTGCAAGTGCTTACATGGTGTGCATCTCAGAGGGTATCAGTGGCTTCTCAGGCAACTTTTGTAGGCCTTCTGCAGTCTCTTCAGTTAAACAGTGAGTCTCAGGGGTTTCAAAAGCAACAATCACAGGTCTGCACTATTCTGTTTTTCATGCAACAAATCTTGTAGCCTCAAAGGTTTTTGCTTCTAGAGTTTTAACTCTCTCTTCCCAATCTTAGTAGTTTCCTTGGCAACAGGTACTACTTAGATACTGCAGTAGTAATCAGCTTAGGAAGCAAAAGTAAGATTCCTAGATCTTAATGGTTGTTGAAGAGGGACACCCGGGACTCTCCTGGTTACCTTCCAAAACAGGATTTCTTGATAGCTTCTGCTTTCAATCCAAAACACCTGCCTCTCTTATGCTAATATTTTGACTGCATGCAGTATGTCAAAAGGTCGCCATGTGTAGCACAAGGAAATTCATGATTATTTTTAGTAAAGGGAATATTGGTTTGCTAAAGTATGAGTATTTTAAAGGGTTCAGGGGAGTCACAAAACACAGCTGTTGGTTACAGGTGACCTGTGGTAGCATAATATATGCCTAAAATCTAATGTAAAAACTATTATTATAATCACACAGCCAGACTGACCAACTTTAAAATTGTCCTGAAGTCACAAAATGCAGAGAGCTAAAGCTGGAACAATACAGATCAACTTTTATGATTTTACTTCCTTAAGAAGTGTTCTAGAAGAAGGTGTTTGACTTCAGCATTTGAACTGCATCCCCTGCCAGCTCTAGAGAAAGTGTGTATTTAACATATTAACTGATGTCTCTGTTCCTAAAATATATTCTTCAATCAGTTTTTATTTTAATTCTTTGGTAAATGTCCTGTTACTTACTTAATTATTATTATGTACAGTCATATTAAAACAAGGTTTAATAAAATCAGAGTGATTTACAGAACATATCTTGAGTTTAACTTCTTAGGAGATAAGCCAATGAGTCATTTTTGGGTTACTTACTAAATATTAGTTGATTCATTCCTTATATTTTTATAAAGCAGTGTCCACTCTGATCTGCTTCTGATAGTCTCCCAGCCAGCAATTCACCTTCCTACCCATTCCTCCAAAGTCTCCTAGATCTCTCTGTGGAGAAATCACACCCCAGTCTGTCTCTCTGCTGGAAGCAGGCAGCCCCTCTCCCATCTATTTCATTTACCACTGAGCTGTGACCTGGGCTGGAGACATTCCTGGGGGGGGAGGGAAGGAGCTCTCCCCTGTGTCCTGTGTAACCCTAACCCTCACCTGAGGTTGGTGACATTTTTCAAACTGACCAACCAGCATCAGCCATGGTCTAAGGATACTGGTTTGTGGTGGGAACTTAGTGATGAGGTCATGACAGGGATATAAAAGGTCCCTTCTTTCTGGAAGGAGGGAGACAAATTTTGGGGATGCAGCCAGCAAGCCATCCTGCCTCTAGAACAGGCTCTGTCAGCCCCTGGATGGACTTGTGAGTAACTTACCTGAAATGTAGCTGGGAATTCAGAATCTAGTGTTTTAGTCGCTTGTCAAAAGGCTGCCAAGCTGTTTCTGTTTGCTCTGGGGGAGTGGGGTTTAAACATTCTCTGACTTGTACCCCTCCCCAAGCCTACTCTCTCTACCCAATAAAGCTATCTGTTAGCAAACCTTGTGGTACATGCTTGAGAGGGACTGGACAGGCCTTCTTGCTCCCTTGACTTGGCTGACTAAGGGAGGCTACTTTCTAGGCTTCAGGCTAATAGAGGCACCCCAAGTTCCCAAGGTCTACAGGGCCTGTGTACCCCAGGTGGCACAGGGCCCAGACAAAAACCTGAGTCCAGGTGGTGGCAGCACTTACCCCAGGCTTGCAAGTGTGCTCCAGGAAGGAGGGTGGCCAGAAGTTGATGCCCTTGGGGAGGCGTCTGAAGCTTGGTTTTTGGCCAGGCGCAGTGAAGCAGATGTCTCTGCACAGGAGTACCCCCTACTGGCCTACCACACTCTCTTCCATCACAAGACTGTTTTTAAGTCTCTCAGTTCATTTGCACAAAGGCATTACATTCAATATCAGATGAGGAAGAAGCCCCTTCAGCCTTTCCAGGGAGTACTGTTTGTCAGGCCCACCATCTGAAAGAAATCGCTTCTAATCACCACAGAGAAATTATTGTCTCCTTTTCTGATGGTAAGTCCCAAGTGTTGGAAGGATTCCTTGTCTTACTGGCTTCCAGTCCAGTTTCAAAAGCTATTCTCTCCCTTAGCCACCCTGGAAGATAGTGTGATTATATTCTAGTTTACGTGTCCTTAGCTGTTGCCTAAAGATGTTTAGTCATGCACTTGGGCATTTAGTGTATGTACTGGTTCCCAAAAGGGCAGAATGTATTTGCCTCAATAAGGTGCTAGAGTACTAAGGTTTGATTTCATGTCATAAAATCGAAGGGCAAGATTCTCAGCTACTGTAAATTGGTGTGACTCCACTAAAGTTAGCAGAGCTACACTGAGTTATTCCAAATGAGGATTTTTCCCAAAAGCTTTAATTTTCCATGGATTTTTAACTTTATTCTTTTTTATCTTTTAGGGCAACAGGCTTTGGCTTCTTGAATGCACTATGCAAAGCAGCAGCTGTACTTGGAAACTTAATATTTGGTTCCCTTGTTGGCATCACCAAAGCAATCCCTATTCTCCTAGCTTCTACTGTTCTAGTATGCGGAGGTCTGGTAGGACTTCGACTTCCTGACACACGAACCCAGGTGTTAATGTAACTGGAAAAAGCCATTTATGAGTTATTTCCCTCTCCTTACAAGTGTCAACTCTCCTGACTGAAAAGTGCAAAGGCTTCAGATTTTCAGCACACAGTAAGGTATCAGATAGCAGAAATCAAACTCAAAATGAGATGTTTTTGCTGTGATTGTGGTTTAGAAACCACTGTAAGAAAGTTTTAAATCTCACATTTTCTTTTCATACTTTGCTGTTTAAGACTTTTTATCTTTCAAACTGCAAAGCTACCTCTTAAAACATTTTCAAGAGACACATTCAGGACAATAAGATCATGCAGATAGTTGTTTAAAAATGCAAGCATATTGTCACATCACTTTAAAAATATGTCCTAGATTTGGCTGTAACATTGTGAGCTTCTGTAGCATCACAATAAGTCAATTATTTAATAGTACCAGTGCAGTAACTGTTAGTCTTACATGTATCAATGTATGCAGTATTAAACAGGAAGCTATATATACTGCATCAGTACTGAGAATACTGATTCTCTGTGTGACTATATTTAAACAGTAGAGACTTCCTACTTTCTCAGAAAGGGCATAGACAGGTAGTAGTGCCTCTTTACAGGAAACCATTTTATGTAGATTCAATCTAGAGCAAAGATTAATGATTACAAGCATAATACTAAAACTATATGTGTGAGGAGAAGGCAATAATTGCTACAAAAAACAGCAAAACTAATAATACTAAAAAAATATTCGAGAAGCACTTTTACTCTTGGTTCCTCCAGAGCATATTAAGAAATATTGACATTCCATGTCTGGGATTTTCTGACTATTCTAAAACAATGGGCTTTGTCTTACCTATTTTATATTTCCTAGTGTAAGTAGAAGCAATTCTTCTGAAGGCAATAGTTACACTAGTGTAAAACCAGTGTGAGTGAGGAAAGAATCAGGCCAGTAGCATAACTTGGGGTGGGCCAGGGGATCTCCAGCCCTGAGTACAGATTTATCAGTGGAGTCAGAATGGTGTCCGCTGGGAAGCTGATGCTGCAGGGGTTGTTGCAGCTGGTGTGTGAAGAGCCTGCACTGCAGCATCTGCAGCCTGAGCCCACCACGGCAGCAGTAGTCCTGTGCCCCTGCTGGGTTGGCTGCTGCAGCTAAGGTGCAGTGACCCTGCACTGTGGCAGCAGCAGTGAGATCTTTAAGTCTCAGGATGAGGTACAACTCACTGGTAACCCTTCCATCTGCACCCCAGCTGGGCACAGAAGCCTCCCTCCCCTTTCCCGTCCCTTTGTCCAGGGTGCCAGAAGTGCTAAAAATAGCTAAGTGGATCCTCTGAATAAGGCCAATGTCTGTATGAAAATAAACTGCTTTAGGAGGTAAGCCAAAGTCCTTTTTTATTTCATTTATGAATTCTTATTCCTCTGGTAACCTTTAGTTGTTAAATAATACATTTTGTATTAGAGTACCTCCTACTAATTTAGTCACTGGTTAACTTCAGCCTCTGCTTAGTGTAATCAGAACCTCTGGAACCAAGTGCTTTCTCTTTAAAATCAAAACCAAAACCAAACTAAAAACCCCACTTCACTTCCACACTTTAAGAAGCTCAGCAAGATTCCATCATGTAGCCATTCGTACAGCTGGTATATATTTTTTTAAAATTAAGCGTTGTCTTATTTAACACTTTCAGATAGTGTCATAGTTTCGTAGTTTCTAGGGTCGGAAGGGACCTTAGCAGATCATCTAGTCCGACCCCCTGCCATGGCAGGAAAGAGTACTGGGGTCAAACGACCCCAGCAAGGTGTTCATCTAACCAACCAGATTGCTCCCAATCCTGCAGACCTCCCAGAAAAGCCATCAAGAAAGAATAAAAATTAATGAATAGTGTAATATATATAGTATATTGGGAAAAAAGCCATATGATGATGCGCCTGCAATAGCAGGAGATGGAACTTGGTGAATCAGGAGGTCCCTTTGGTTCTTTATTCCTATAAAAGGCAATATTATTTGATTAAGAATTAAATATAAATATATGTGCTTCTAAAAATAGTATACCAAGGGCATATCCTCAGGTAGTTTGAGCTGTCATTCATTTTTTATGGAGTTATGACTATACACATTAGCTGCAGGAGGGTCTGCCTCCTGATAATGCAATATTCAGAGTAAGTTCAAACAACAAACCTGGTGTAGAAGTTGACAAGATAGCAGTTAACTTGCTGGTAAATTTTAGGATATTTATTTTAATCATGTCAGATCACTTTTAATGGATAATACCATCACCGCTAAAAAAAATCTGCCATTTAAGGAAGGCCAACGTTTTGAATAAGAAAGAAGGAAGAATCCAAAAAATATTATTTGAAAAATAATACCTTCTTGTTATTTGAATAATAATGTCCAAACTATTTGTGCTGTAGGATGGAACATAGTAATCATGTTCAGAGAGGTAGAAAAAACTGAGAGAGGCCCCTTATTACATTTAAAGTTCATGTGTGGTTTCTTTTTAAAATACTGTGTCTAGGAGTCACGTCTCAGATGCAAATATATACCCTGTATTAAAATTTAGCACCAAAGACTCAGCCCAAGAAAGCTATTTTCCACTATTTTTTCAAATAATTTATTTAGATTAAATTAAAAATTAAATGATTGCTGGAAATGCATTGATATTTTTCTCCATTTTCATAACTTAATTGTGATTTAAAAAGAAATAAAATTTAGGAAACAGATGTGAACACCAACAAGCAAATGTGACTGAGTATTTAAATAATTACAGTGTTTGTGATAAAACATAATTACATTTAAGCCTGTTAAGTGACTCTTTCATCCCCATGCTCAAATGGGAATCATAAACTTCCATGTTAACTTTAAGGGTTGAAATGGAGATTGATAATTATTTTTCACAAGGACCTAGGTTCAAGATAGAATGCCAGTCTTACCCTTCAGTCTCATAGCTTTTCTCTTTGTCACAGCATTTATATTATTTTCAAGTTCAATTAAGAAAGCATCTCATTCTGGCTTTTTGTGTAGCCATTTCTCACCTGGGGAAAATCCACTCATGTAATTTATTAGTCATATGGCACCCTCGTACTTATTGTACAGCTTGTTTTGAAATCTGAAGCCTCTGTACAGGTTTGGAGTGATCATCAATAGTCAGTGTTGAATCACATTTTTGTTGCACCTTACACTTGTTCAGAGTGATATATTGTGTTCAGTTCTGTATGCTACATTCAAGAATTACATTATCCAGTGTTTAGTGCAGTGCTTTGAATAGTGGGGAGGGGGTACAGAAAAGGAAGGGCCAGTTATTGATGGCTCCTGTTTGGGATTAGTATGCTGAAATCTAATTGCATTGAAAAACATAATGAGTTTCTATTAAAAGACTGTCCACACACTTTCCCCAGTATCCAAATAAGGCATGTGATTGTGCTAAATCTAGGCTGCATCCCAGATTTCTTGCTTTGAAGCAGCTTCAGTGCATGACTCAGCCTATTCGCAATGTAGCCAGCAGCTTTCAAATGAGCTGGGACATGGCAGCAGAATGGATAAGTAGGCATGAAAATGGAAGTATCTGACTCCATGGGTAGACATGACTTCACATGGTATCACTTGCAAATAGGGTTCAAATAATGAGTATTGGACAATGAAAATGTTCCTTGCCTTCTTTCTCCTCATTTATATCTCTTAAAATTAGAAAGAGGGAGAAAATTAGGCTCTGAAATATACCTTTGTTGAAGAAGGTCAATCACATGCAACTTCATGAGAAAATGCCATGGACTGTAAATACCTATATAATTACAACACATACTTGTAGTAGAAAGAGCCAAAGTAGATTGTGTTTGTACACCAGAGCCCTCTAACAGAGGAAATCCTTTTTCACTTTGGGGAAATCTACTTGTGTCATTCATTAGTTGTATGGCACCCTTGTACTTACTGCACAGCTTGTTCTGAAATCTGAAGCTTTTGTACAGGTTTAGAGTGATCATCAACAGCCATTGGTAAATCACATATGCCTGTCATTGTCCCTGCACTGCTGTGAAACAATGCAGATTCTCTTTCAGTTCAACCTGTAGGAAAACATGAGTTCTTGCCCTTTTGCTGCTGTGAAATTTAAAGGGTTCAGTGTGGTGAATTGTTCAAGTTGTTGTTCAAGGTCACCATCACTGACCGTTGTAGAAAGAAAAGACCAAAGCTACATATTATAGGATCATAAGAAAGCAGGGCTAAAAGGGACCTCATATTGTTATCTAGTCTAGCCCCCTGCTGAAGCCAGGATCATCCCTGACTAAGCCATCCCAGCAAAGTGCCTGTCCAACCTGCTCTTGAAAATTTCCCAGAATGGAGATTCCACTATTTTTCTAGGTAGCCTGTCCCAATGCTTGACCAACCTCATAGACAGAAAGTTCTTTTGTAGGTACAAACAAAAGTGACATTTTTCAAGCAATCTGGCCCCTGAAAGCACTGTGCAGCCATGTCATAACACATGTGCATGGCTGCAGAGTGCTTTTAAAATGGCTGATCACATGAAAAATTGAATCTGGCGAAATTAGGTATTACATTAAGGTGTTCAAAAGCAGAGCACATTAGGGAACTTGTGTTCCCTCCAGGGTTAATTTTTTGCATGGTGGGGTGGGAAGGGAGGGAGAAGGGAGGGAACTCCAAGCTGCCGAATGGCCAGAGTTGAGGTGGGGGGAGACGGGGAATAGAGCCCCCTCACCTCATGGGCCCCCCCCAGCTACCCCCAATACCCCAGCTGGGGTAGCTGGGAAGGGGCCCACAAGGTGAGAGGACCCCTTTTCCCACCCACTCCCCCTTAGCTCTGGCCATTCAGAAGCCAGGAGCAGCCAGCATGGAGCTCTTTGTTGCTGAATGGCCAGAGCTGATGGGGAAGGGGTAGGAAACAGAGCCCCCTTGCCTCACCACCACCCCCCAGCTACCCCCAGTACCCCAGCTGGGGTAGATGGGGAGGGCCCATGACATGAGGGGTCTTCATTCCCCTCCACTCTCCCTCAGCTCTGGCCATTCAGCAGCTGGGAGCTCCCTCCCCTTCTCCCTCCCTTGCTGACAGCCCAGTGGGGGGCTGCTCAGCAGCCTCCTCAGAAGATGCTGGAGTACCCCTGGCTACTGTTCAGGGCCAGTGAAGGCTAACTCCAGCCCCTCCCCACCCCTCAACCCAACAGATGTCTTGTTGGGTCAGGGGGCCATGGATCTTTAACTCAGTGCTTTATGTAAAGCACCATGAGTTAGAGTAGGGCCCTAATGTCTGTCTGTGCCCTTAATCTCTAATCTAAATATCCTGTGCTAAAACCTGAGGCTATTACTCCTAATTCTGTCCCCTGTGGCCATAGAGAAAAGCCCATCTCCACCCTCTTTGTAATCATTCTTCAGGTACTTGAAGAGTGGTAATCGTATCTCCCCTTACTCTTCTCTTCTCTAGACTTAATAACCCTTGTTCTTTCAGCTTTTCCTCATTAGTTATGCTTTCCAGGCTTCTAAACTTTGTGTGGCTCCCCACTGGACTCTTTCTCATCTGTCCACATCTCTCTTGAAGTGTGGGGCACCACTGTAATGGTATTAACAGTAGTGGTCACTGTTTTCAAATTGTCAAAAATTTTCAACAGAAATTCTCAATTTTAAAAAGAGACAAAATGTGTTCCTTTAGTGCCAGTTCTAGTATTAATACCAGATTTCTTGATATAGGGCTTGAACTGACTGATTGTATCTTTGGTTGGAATGAAATTGTCATTCAATTTCTATCACAAGATGTTCCTTTGAAAAAGGAAGATTACTGAATTTATATTAACTAAGGTAGCTACATTAATTTTAGGCCTTCCTCACTTTAAACAGGATGCTTACTTAATTGATGTCCTCTCTAATGACTCTTGAGCAGTAACTCCTAACCAGAGGGACAGAACTAGAGTTTCATAGTTGCTTTAGGACAGGGCTGAAGCAAAATGGGGAACCTGGCCTCCCTGAGCCACTTATACAAGTTGAAATACAGAAGAGCTCTTTCCAAATATGTCATGCCCGTGGCCCTCCCTTTGCCCATTCCCAAGGTAGCCAAAGAAGCCCTTAAACTCTTAATCAGCTCTGATCTCACTTTTTCATTCCTTATTGTTCTATTCATCCCAAATGAATTTGCCTACTGGACAACCTCTCGTAGGTTCTATTAAACTTCATTCCTCACTTACTTTTTTCAATTGCCTTTGCTTTCATTATATACTCCAGTAGTATACCAGTTTCTGTGTTTGTTATCATCTCTTTTGAAGCCAAGATAGAAAACAAATTAAAACAAAAAAACATCCAGGTGAGTTCAGCTATGGAAGGCAGATGGTCTCTGTGGGCACCTATACATGAGCAGGGAGGCTGCTCTGATGCGCTGTAATTACAGCATGTCAGAACAGACTCGATTAATTGCATCTGCTGGAGCGTGGTAATTACTGTGCTCCAGCATCACGTGTATCAGCGTCCCCACACTGAAAAATGGCAGCAGGGCACTTAAACCAAAGCTCATTCAACAAGCTTTAGTTCAAAGTGACCCACTGACATTTTTCAGCATGGGGGCACTGATGCATATGATGCTCCGGATGCTTTAATTAACGTGGTTCTCAGAGCCTCTGTAATTAAAGGGTCTTTCCCCCTCTGCCCCACAACCTCCCGGAACACATTTATAAACACCCTGTTAGTCTCAT